TGACGTACATACTGACATCATTGTTATGACGGTCAAAATAACGTCAGATTTAGGTCATAATCACTAATTAGTGACAAAAATCACGTATATTTACGTCATTACAACGTCAGCTGGTTGCTTGGGTCTCTTACTGGTCGCGTCGCTGAGTAAGTGTCTCCTGGCCATCTCCACCGCATCGGATCGAAGGGCAAGAAACAGCGAGGAGACATCCAGCTCGTTTTCAGAACTAGGTTCAGGTAGAGTCAGAGAGAACTTTCCATACTTATCTGCCTTTTCATTACCCTGTACGCTACAGTGTCCAGGGACCCATACCAACTTGATTAACACACCGTTGTCTTTTAGTCCAAGGACTAATTCCTTTATTTGACAATAAGTATAGAAAAATAATATAACAAGGTCTGTTTTCGAGCTTTAATGGATCTTAAAGATTTATTTATAAACAAAACGCAAATAAAATTTAGAATTACAAATAACAAACGTTTCGGCCCTTACTTGAGCTCTCTTCAGTGTACAAAAGTAAATATAAATATAAGTAAACACGTCATATCAAAAGGTTCGCAAAAGTAGATGGAAATTAAAAGAAAAGATGATAGATCTTACGTTAGAAGTCCATAGTTGGTTGTATATGTTTGACTTCCTGAAAAGGTCGTGTAGTAAATAGTCACACACAATATTAAAATTAAAGTTAAATCGCTGTAAAACTTACATATCCAAAGTCAAGATCAAACGATGAACAGAGAGTAAAGGCAACAACTTATATAACAGTTTCCCCACCAACTGAAGTCAAAGTAAAACGGTTCTGTTAAAATTTTAAATTTTGGAAGATTTTATTGAGTCAAGTAAATTAAAATAAGAATGGTCAAGTAAATTCGTGTCGTTAATTAGGTTTAAACCAAGTGTCTGTTTTTTAATATATATTGTCTCAGAAATTAATCTTTTAAAAAAATTGCGTTCAAAGTCTAAAATTTTAGTATTGTTCCAATCAAAAATATGATTAAAATCAAGTCTATGTTTTGAAATAACAGACAGTTGTGAAGAGGTTTTATTAGTGTCATTTTTGTGTTCTTTTAATCGAGTTTTTAATTGCCTTTTGGTCTGTCCAACATAAGATGCACAACAATTTATACAATTAATCTTATACCCCGATAGCCAAATGATAGCAGTATGCCAGAAGTATGCACGCAGGTTTAATCAGCACTTTGCAGCAGATTTTACTCAGCTGTGTCATCATAGTGAGTGAATTATGTAGGCACGATACGTAAAGAAAACAACACAGCAAAAATATAGAAATAAATGAAGAATGAAATGACAATAGCACGTTATGCTTCAAATCTGCTACATTTTTTGAGTAAGTTCTGCTTGATTGATGCAAAAATATTTGCATCACGGCATGACATATTTATATTCTTTTTTTTTCTGTTTTTCTGTCGACACTAGTTGAAATAACAGATTATGTTTGAATGCTGGCTACATTGTACTGGCATAATGTGTTATTGCAAACTTTGCAAAATGTGATCACTCAGTCTTGGTTATCTGGGTAAATAATGTAGTTATTCGAGTCATGTTTTGTAGAGTCTTTGTATACTTTAACAATTTTATTTAGTCTGTTGAGACATTTGTAGCTATGATAACCTCCGTTTTGTTAAAAACATTACTGATACATTCAGAGATATTATTAATGTATGGTAAAACAATCAACTTTCTGTCAACAGAAGTGAGAGAACTTATATTAAAAGAGTTGTTGAGTTTCTTAGAAATAAATTTTTTAATTCTAACATTATAATGTTGTTAAAAATGAAATCAAGAGGATAACCATTGTTAAGTAAAACTTCAATGATAAAAGTAATATTTTTAATATGGAAGTCAGGATGTGACAGCAAAATAGCTGGATCAATTAAACTAAAAACTGTGCCTTTTTTGTGGCACAGAGGATGGTGAGAGAAAAATGACAAAAATCTTCCAGAGAAAGTCTTTTTGTGAAACCAATCTATTTTTAATTTTCCGTTCACATTATGGATAGTTAAATCTAAGAAGTTTATGCAATGGTTATCCTCCAATTCGACTGTAAATTTTATTCTGTCATGGTATGTATTGAACTGCGAAACAATATTATCAATAATATGAGTTGGAGCTGCTAAAACGATGTCATCAACGTAAGGAAAATAGAATGGAATTGAATTAAATTTATATAAGACTTTATTCTCGATATCTTGCATAACGATATCAGCTAGTAAAGGAGATAATGGAGAGCCCATAGGGGTTCCAAAAGTTTATCTATAGATGACATCGTCAAACGTAAAAAATGAGGAAGATAGAATAAAAGTAATCGCATTTAAAAATTCGTCCAACGGGATATTCGTGTTTTTTGAGATGTAAGACCATCTGTTTTTTAGACCATTGATAGCCAAATCAGTGGGAACATTAGTAAACAAAGAGACGACATCCAGTGAACATAAAACTTCACCATTAGCAAGGTTAAAATTAGAAAGGCGTTCATAAAGTTTAAAACTGTTGACGACATTACTTCTAGCTAAAGGAAGACTCTTCAAAATAATTTTGTGTAAAAAAGAAGCTAAAGAGTATAAATGGCTGTTGACGGAAGAAACAATAATTCTTAATGGTGTGTCTTTTTTATGGAATTTTGGTAGGCCATATGCCTTAGGCAAAAGAGCGTCACTAGATCTTAAACGATAAAGTGTCTTATTATCTATGTAGCCTCGTGTCAACCAACGTTTTAAAATCTCAGAGAGATTAGATTCAATTTTTTTAACAGGATTTTGTTTCACAATATTATAAGTATTTTTATCATTTAAGAGAGTCCTCATTTTGGAAATGTAATCGTTTTTATTCATACCCGGGAAAAAATGGATTAAATCTAAATAGATCTAATTTAAATCTAACAAGATAAAAAAAATGGAAAACTAGATCTAATTAGATCCAAATAAGATCTAAATAGATATAAAGTAGATCTAAATAGATATAAGTAAATCTATGTAAATTTACACTTTATTTATCATTAGATCTACTTTAGATCTACTCAGATCTACTATATTAGATCTATTCAGATCTGCTTAGTTCTGTTTAAATCTGCTTAGATCTAATATAATAAATCTGAGTAAATCTATAGATCTAAAATAGATATACTGAATAAAGTGTAAATTTACATAGATCTATTTATATCTGTTTAGATCAACTTTATATCTACTTAGATGTAATTAGATCTCTTTTTCCATTTTTTTTATCTTGTTAGATTTAAATTAGATCTATTTAGATTTAATCCATTTTTTCCCGGGTAGTTACAGTAATATTGCCTTTATCAGCACATGTAAAGATTATTTCAGGATTTTCTTTATTTGATATACTAGCGGTGAATGGGTGCCTCTAGGGTCTGTTGATCCAAGACAAATGATTACGCTGAGCGAGTCCGAGGCAACTGCAACCCTTGGGAAACCAAAATCTTTAAGTTCTCTATTCCAGAGCGCAGATAATGCCGCGGGCTTTCGCATCAAAGATAGTGGAATTATTATTTATGCGTTCGTAATGGATGAGATCAGGTTCGTCTGAGACCACAGCGAAACCAACCGCAGGTGGTGTCTCATCCGAGCCTAGGGTCAGAGACTTGTCGGTGAAGAATACTCTGATGAAGCCGTGGTCCTTGAAGAAACTATCAAGATAGTGCTGGGGGTCCTCGGCCCGACGTGCAAGAAATCCAGTGTTGGTGTCTGTGTCACACTTAAAGAACCGGACTTGGTATGGAAGAGCGAGACTTCCCGGGAGTAAGAACTTTTTCACGTCTTTAACAACATGTTGGAGTTCTTGATACATTGTGAAGAGGCCAAACCCATTGTTAGCACAGATAGGTTCCCTTAGACCATATATACTTATAGACACTGCCTGTAGATATGAATCCACGAGTCGAGGTGAAGCAAAGATAATATCATCTACGTGACGTCACATGTGGGCATTTCAGCAATGGCTAAATACGGCCTCGTAAATGATATTATCTTATCTTCAAGGCAGTTATCTGAAGCCGTCTATAAACGTGCCTTTGCTTTGCCCACATGTGACGTCATGTAGATAATATTATCTTTGCTTCAAGATAGTTGTCTGAAGCCGTGTCTATAAGTATATATGGTCTAAGTAGGTTCCCATGCCTTGCAGGTGTCTCTCAGCAGCTGTCTCAAAGGATGGCTGGACCTCGCGCAGACCCTACAAATATATTTACTAACAAGATATTTGTGTCTATATTGTAGGGGTTGTTCGCCTATTACATCAAGCAACACGTTGGTCGGAGTAGTGCGCATGAGACCACACACTACCCTAGTGCAAGCGAACTGTAGACGGTCTAACACAAGGCTTTCGCGTGCTCCGAGAGGGAAGGTTACCTGGCAACCCCATTCTAAGACGGAGCGTACCAGCCCCTTATACGCGGTTAGCAAGATAGTAAGGTGAGTTCTCCACTTTAATCCTGCCAGCATCTTAAGAATGTTTATACGAGGAAAGACCCTTTTTCTTGTCTCAGCTACGTGTTTTTTCCACCTCAGGGAATAATCTGTGTGAACTCCAAGGAATCTGACCGTCTACTCTATGTTTAGCTTAGTCCCTGCCAGGTAAATGTTTACCCTATTCTTCTTTAAGAGCCATTTCATGTTTCTTAGGAGGCAGAGTGAATAGAATGTAGCTACGGATTTACTAGGTGAAACTTTGAGACCAAGAGTGGTTAGATGTGATTGTACTCGGTCTAGGGCCACATTTAGTTGCTGGGCAACAATCGACACAGAGAGGTTAGAGCAAAAGACTACTATGTCGTCAGCGTAGATAAGGGTATCACCGACGGCCGCAGGGACGCGGGACAGGATGACCCAGAAAGACCAACCAACCGAAATCCAGCGAGAAACAGCGCAGAACATCCCATTGGCCGAGGAAAATCGACCAATCACAGAAAAAGGAGTGCCAAGTGGATCGCACGCAGATTCCGGCAGTGCCGAGTGTGTGGATGGCACATAGAAAAGCGGCGGTATGCCGAAAAAACTATTAATTACACGGAAGTAGAGAGCGTTGTCGAAAAAAGATGAAGCCTAGTCAGCCATGTTTATATGAGCCACTATTACTGCCATCTGTTAGTATTTCACTATACTTCGATGAAATAATGCACAATAAAATCACGAAAAATTAACAAAAAAAAACTAATTTTAATAAATAGTAATTATAGATATAATATTATACATATTTATAAGATTTAATAAATATAGGTAAATAAATAAGTAAGGGAAAAAAATAACTTATATATAAACATAATTTACTGTCCTGCAAATAATATTAATTTATTATAAAAATGTCTTTTGCTTACATTATTATTAATATTATTCTGTTTTGCAATATAAAAATATCTTGTCTGTACATATTTTTCTAGCTCCTTTTGTTGTTTAGATTTTCCAATGACCTATTTTTTGCTATACAATGCATCATTTTTATAATTAATTTTTTTCAAAAATAAGTATAAAATTTAAGTTTAGAAGATCCATAACGCTTAATGTTATGTTAATTATTAACTATAAATTTAAGCCTATAGTATTAAATGTAATGTAATGTGTTGTAGATTGCGGAAAACTTATTTTAATTTAATTCTGTTTTACTTATCTCTCTTTCTTTTCTTAATTTTCTCTTTACTAAAAACTTTCACAATTTCTTCCTGTCACTACAGATTAGTACGTCAACGTCAATGTGTTCAAATAATATCGCTCTTATCAGATAGAAAGCAGCACTAGTGGCTCATATAAATATGGCTGAAGGTTGTTTAGAGGTCAAATCCCCCCCGCACCATGGCTTCACTCCCCGCGCCTATACTATTCCTTAATGCTCTCTCCTTTATGGAAGGAATAGTGATAGCAATAGAAATAACGGGTGACGTCCATTTGACCACGGTACAATTGGACACAGTACGATTGCACACGTAATATTGGACACGTACGATTTGACACGGTACGATTGACCACCGTACGATTAACCACATTCTATTTGACGCGAAGAATTTAACACCGTACGATTGACCACGGTACGATTGACCACCGTACGATTGACCACCGTACGATTCGACACCGTACAATTCGACACAGTACATTTTCCGATATCATGTACATTTCAGAAAAATATTTATTTGCATCACATATTATAGTACACATGTTGGCGGGGGGGGGGCTCCGCCCCTCCCCCTGCACCCCTTCCCCGAAAAAAAACCTAACCTAACCCTAACCTGTGTTGCTACTATTATTAATTGTCACGATGCATAGTGCTTGTTCTGTGTCGAATCGTACGGTGTCGAATAATTTGGTGTCGAATCGTACGGTGGTCAATCGTACCGTGGTCAATCGTACGGTGGTCAATCGTATCGTGGTCAATCGTACCGTGGTCAATCGTACGGTGTTAAATTCTTCGCGTCAAATAGAATGTGGTTAATCGTACGGTGGTCAATCGTACCGTGTCGAATCGTACAGTGTGCTATTCTTGCGGTGTCCAATCNTACTGTGGTCAATCGTACCGTGTCTAATTGTACGTGTCCAATAGTACGTGTGCAATCGTACTGTGTCCAATTGTACCGTGGTCAAACGGAATACGCCCGAAATAACACCAGTTTTAAGCCCCTTGCACAATGGAAGGAATAGCGATAGCGATAGAAATAACACAGTTTTTAACACAGAATTCCAACTCGTCGGAAATTTTATCGCTATTGCTTATTCCGATTTTCTGATCTGCATTGATACATGCAGAGAGAAACCTGAGAGCGGCCATCTTATAGTAATTTTTTACGACGGTTTCAGCCGCTGGTTTTAGCCGTATTTTCACAAAAGTGGAACTCAAAGGCCGTTCTACATTAAACGCAAGTCGCTGATCTCGTGGAATTGACCAATTGCAGAGTCAAATCAGCCAATCGACCAACGTGATTGATCAGTTCCACGAGATCTGCGACTTGCGTTTAATGTAAAACGGCCTTTGAGTTCCACTTTTGTGGAAATACGGCTAAAACCAGCGGCTGAAACCGTCGTAAAAAATTACAATAGGATGGCCGCTCTCAGATTTCTCTCTGATACATGTGTAGTTTTGTATGTTAGATTCCGCTGTTCCTACCTTTATTTTTAAATATAAACTCTTTAAAACTTTTGTTATTTCTATCGCTATCGCTATTCCATCCATTGTGCAAGAGGCTTTAAAGAGTTTATATTTATAAATAACGCTAGGAACAGCGGAATCTAACATATAAAAATACACATGTATCAATGCAGATCAGAAAACGAAATAAGCAATAGCAATAAATTTTCCGACGAGTTGGAATTCTGTGCGTATTGCTTATTGCTATCACTATTCTCTCGCATTGTGCAAGAGGCTTAAGCTTTAGTGGAACCCTTAGGCGTAGCGCAGCGCGAAGAGTGTAAAAGAGGCGTTGCGGGTAAAGCCGGGTTAAGGCGCACGTGCCTGCGCAGTGGAAATGCACAGACGTTCAAATGCCGGTTTAAGGCAACAGTGCAATTTTTTGTTTTATTTTAATCATGCGTGTCGTGCTTAAAGCAACTTATAGTACTCAAAAATATATAGGTTTAATTATTTTAATCAAAATTTGAATTTTTTGATTTTTTGTTTTTTAGCCACCGCAAAAAGTGTGTGGATATAGCCATAAATGGCACTAGTTATTTTGCGATTTGAATAACTGTAATTTTCTTAATAGATCGACCCGAAAAAATAGTAGTTAGTGTAGGCCCGAAGACGGGATGATGTAAACAACACACACACATATGTGAACACATGCACACACACATACACACACACACACAAACAAACATGCGTCATTCAAAGAATGAACTGGACAAGTTCTCATCTTTGGATGAACAGTAAAATGGAACACACCCGTTTAGGGATAAGCCGCGTTCACAAGCAAGCGGGTGAGGCTTAACAAACTTGCGTGAACGTGATTGGAAAAGACTAGAAAAAAAGTGATCTATGGATCTTCGCGAGGGAAAGACGCGTTTCGTGTTCGGCGTCGCGAAATAAAAAAGATCCAAGCATTGAGTACGCAAGTATGCTCCCTAAGCATATAATTAACAATCGCGGAAATGTAGTAATTAGTGTAAGCTCATATTTTGTTAAAATAAATGTAATATTCGTAAAATTACATACAAAAGTGAGTGATACTTACCTATCCTGGACGATCCTTTCCCTGGGCGTAGAACCTGGAAAAGAAAGGTCAGAAGGGCATTTCAGACAGGAAGGAAAGACGATGGTGCTGAATCGTCCCTAAACATGCACCTGGCGACCGTGATACCTAAAATTGTAAGTACTTTTAATAAAAGGGTGTAGTTCTCCGGCCACAAGGGCACTAACAGATGCCGGTAGACAAGCTTCGACAAGGGACACATAGACGTTGAACAATACAGGACTCAGGACAGATCCCTGAGGCAGTCCTCGCTCTGTATTGCGTCAAGTCTGTACAAAGATTCCGAACGCGTACCCCTCTAGCTTTCTAAAGCTAACCACTGAGGCCAAGAAAGCTACCATTCGGGGGGGAATCCCGAAAAGAGAGAGCATGACCAACAACGTGGAGAGCACGACATTGTCGAAAGCCCCCTCAACGTCGAGAAACACGGCACCAGTAACCTGTCGGGTGTTGTTAACAACCTTTATCCTAGATACGAGCATAGCTAAGTTATCCGTACAGGAGAGCCCTCGTCTAAAGCTAAACTGGTGGGGAGAGAGAATATTATTATTCTCGATCTACCATTCTAGTCGGCGACACGTAATTTTCTCCATTACCTTGAGAAGGTTATTTGCCAGGAATATTGGTCTATAAGCGCCCTTACGTCCCGGCTTAGGGATAAAGATGACAAAGTAGTTTTTCCATAAAGTTAGATAGACCTGTCGGAAGTACATTAAGTTGAGAAGATTGATTATGTACATATGAAGGGCAGGGGAAAATTGGGAGATAATGAAGTTTGTGATTAGATCAGGGCCGGAGGCCGACCGGATTTTAAGGGATTTTATCACAGAGTAATATTCTTCGGGGGTGATTTGGCTATCCATGTATTCATTGTTAAGGTTGATGTTTAACGGGTTCAGCGACTCAAGAAGTGTGGAGTGGTCCGGGGGGAGAGGGAGGTCAAGAGAGACAATCTTGTCAAAGGCTTTCTGAAAACCCTCCAAGTCGAGGCAGTGTTTATCGCTTTTGTCTCTGGGCTTATTACGTGCACAGAAGGCCTTGACTGTGCTCCATACCGATCCAATATCTGAGTTGGCGTGTAGAGAGCCACAATACTTACAAAAGGTTTGGCGTTTCTTTTTTCTTAAAGCTTTAGAGACCTCGTTGGCTACTTGACAGTAGTTATCGAGGTTATTGATGTTGGGGTGCGATCGGAACTGTGCGGCCCTTTTACGAGAGTAGATGTCAGAGCAAGAAGCATCCCACCAGGGCGTGGGAGGTCTCCTAGAGGCCTTTGAGGTGATTGTGCGGACAGCTCCCGTCTGTAAAAGCGCATCATCACTAAGAAACACCTGTCTCAAGTAAGTATTATCTATATCTTCCGTGGGATTTAACGGAAGGAGGGAGTCCACCCTTTCTTAGCACATGAATTGAAACTCCTTCCAATTCACCTGTTTTATAGAATAATAGGGCCGACATGCAATGCGGCCAGAGAATCTGTCTGAGATAGAGGTGACCACAGGGAAGTGGTCGCTACCGTAGTGATAGTCGCACACTTTCCAAGAACATTGAGGAGCCAAAGTGCCGGAAACTATAGTAAGGTCTATCGCAGAACATCTGGAGAGGTCTGCAGAGGACCATGTGTTATTACCATTATTGAGGTGTGACGGGACGAGTCCCGTCACTTGTAAATACTGTACATAATTTTATTATAATACTCTTTCTGTTTGTAAATAGTGTATTGTTATTCCGATCTTTTTTTCTTTTTGTTCATCAAATAAAATAGGTTTAAGTATAATATAACACACACGCCTACCATAGTTCCGTCAATCTCCCTATACAACTCCTATACCGACGGAGTGACCGATAGTTAGAGGCGCGGGACTATAGAATAAGAGCGCACGTGTGCAGAAGAAGACCTGTGCCGGTACGACACGGCACAGGTGCGTGACACGGCGCGCAAACAACCACGTAC